GTGCCAAGTTTTGTGACTAAAATAGTAAACAAAAGCAAAATGGTCCTTAAGTTCCTTAAACTTAGTTTCAAGGGTCAATGTAGATAGTAATAAGCAAGTAAACAAATGTTCGAATTGCCAAGTGCTGTGAAGACTCCAGGGCTTTCTAACAGAAACACTGAGTTCACTGAGTTAACTTCTTTTTTTTTTTTTTTTTGCCAGTACTGCAGCTTGAACTCAGGGCCTCTGCATTGTCCTTGAGTTTCTTTTACTCAAGGCTAGGACTGTACCACTTGAGCTACAGCTCCACTTCCAGCTTTTTCTGAGTAGTTTTATTGGCAATAAGAGTGTCACAGAGTTTCCTGTCCTGCCCTGGCTGGCTTCGAATCAAGATCCTCAGATCTCAGCCTCCTGAGCAGCTAGGATTATAGATATGAGCCACCCGTGCCTTGCCTGACTGACATTTTCATACAAAACATCAAAGTAGTAAAATACTGAGCAATTTAACTGGCTATTTATTATTAATTGAGAACTTTTATAAACACAAGACTTTTCTAGTAGAGTCAAATCCACATGTCACTTTGTTGAGGATGTTTTCTTTGATTAAACATTTGCTGATTTTTACATTTGCTTTCCTTAAGTACAAGTGGCTAAGCATAGCACAAATATAATTCGTGCATGACAGGATCAAGAAGGAAAAAGCAGCCTTCCTTTAAGGCTATCAATTGCTAACACAAACTAATTTAATTAGTGTAAACCTGATACCAAAGTAGGATGATGGTGATGGTATGGATTCATTTTAAATGTTTATATTCACAATTAAATAATTCTTCATTATATTAACTATTTTGTGATAAGCAAAAGTTCATTCATGAAAATAGGGGATTATTATGTGTAACATTTAACAATGCTTTTGGCTAAGTGCAGTAGCTCAAACCTGTAATCCTAGCGATCAGGAGGCTGAGATCTGAGTATCATGGTTCAAAGCCAGTCTGGGTAAGAAAGTCCCTGAGACTCCTATTTCCAACTAACTACCAAAAAAAAGCCAGAAGTGGAGTGGTGGCTCGAATGGTAGAATGCTAGCCTTGAACAAAGATGCTCAGGGACAGTACTCAGGCTCTGAGTTAAAGCCCAAGAACCAGTACACACACACACACACACACACACACACACACACACACACACACACACACACGTTTCTGATCTTAAAAAAGTTTGGCAAAGGACAATGTGAGGGAAATATTTAGCAGGTCTGACAACAGTCATAGCTGATTTAAATCTCCTAGTTATTACTTTCTCTGGGGATCCTGAGAGCCTCCTCCTTCTGTAGAGCACCCTGGGGAAATGCCTGACATTAGGTGATGTGCATTCCATGGACAGTTCCCCAACTTCATTCTACAGGAATGTAAATGGCCTAAGGGAAGTGGCTCTTGAGAAACCTGTACTGACCTCCTAGAAGTGAATAGATACCTCCACAGCTTAAGTGTGGATTGGTATAACTAAAATAACTTACGTGTTTTCTGCATCATAAACATTATGTTACTCGTAGTTATGCTTAATAAAAGCCTTCTACTTGATAGAAAGCACAGGTGTTTATATATTTTATAATTGGAATCTATTCTTTTCATTCCATGAGGTTATTGATCTCTTTAGGGAAGCCATTGCTTTGCCTTGTCATGTTGTTTTTTGTCAAAATGGAGTTTCTTTAGATAAGATTAATTTTTTTTTCAGTCATGAGGCTTGAACTAATGACCTGGGCACTGTCCCTGAGCTCTTTTGCTGGAGGCTAGTGCTCTACCACTTTGAAGCACAGTGCCATTTCTGGTTTTCTGGTGATTAATGGGAGATAAGAGTCTCACGGTCTTTCCTGCCTGGGCTGGCTTTGAACCATGATCCACAGATCTCAGCCTCCTGAGTGGCTAGGATTACGGGCATGAGCCAGCAGGGCCTGGGATGATAAGATTAATTTTTGAAGATGAATATAGTACTGAGGATATGGCTTAACAGGTAGCGTATTCACCTAACAAGCATGAGGTCCTGAGTTCAATCACTCACCAGAACCACCAAAACAAAAACAAAAAATTATAAACAATAAAACCCTAGTATAAAATATTAAACATTCAAAACTCTAGGTAAAGGGTATATGAATGTTTGTGATATGACTCACTCAAGTTGTAGGCTACTTCTCACTTTTTCAACAACAACAAAGTGTTGTGCTTACTGTATTTGATTATGAGCAGCACACATAGTGAATTGATTCATGAAAGAAATTCCTACATTTAACACTTCGGAGAAATCTAATATAACTCTGCAATGTAAATAGTGATGATCTCATCCAGCAGTTAGAAATGCAAACGTATGGAATGATTCAATACTTTTATCAGCATTCATGTAAGGTCCCTACTGTCCTTGAGGAAACACTGGCTGTGAGAGACCAAACCCTGGCTCTATAGCTATGGACTCAGTGACACAATACTTTGTGTTCCAGAGACTTTATCTTGATTCCAATAAGATAAATAGAAAGCCTCTGGGCACACAGATTCCAAGAAGTAGATGGATGGAGAGAAAAGTCCACAGTGTGCTCTAAAGTAACTTTTTCTTATCATCTGAAAAGCATGCATTTTAATAATAATACTTTTGTACTTAGAATTTAAATCCCACCCATGTAATTGTAACCCTCTGTACAGTATTTTCACAATTAAAGAAAAAAAGAATTTAAATTCCAAGTATCCATGATTATTAAACACTTATCCATTTGAAAGAATCTGAAAAACAGATTTCATTTTCAGATAACAATAGGAAAGGAAAAACAAACAGTAAGAAATAGTAAGCCAATTTTTAAGTTAATGTCTTGGCAAAATAAACCCTCACTTTTAAAATTTTGTTTTAATTTTCCTTAGGTAGTTGTACAAAGGAGGTGCCATTCAACAGAGCAGTTTATGAATAGAGTGCCCCCTGATCAAGGTCACCCCTTTGGAGATTCTCACCCATCCCTCTCACCCCACCCCTCCCTCATGTTTCTTTTGCCATTTAAGAAAGCAATGTATGCATACAATGCATCTTCAACATCTTCATTTCCCCCCTCCCCCTTTCACCCAACCCTTCCCTCATTTTTCTCAGTTCTGTGGCATGTACAATGCATTCTTGACTGCAATCTACTCATTCCCCCCATTCCTTCTCCATCCCCCTCCTCTACTGAAGACTGACCTATGGTCCAGTATAAGCAACACTTGAAAATCTGTATTTGTCATTTCTCTGTATTCCACTGGGCATTTACCCCACTTTTTTCTTACTATTATTTATCTTGTCACCAGCTAACTTATTAATTTGTATATTCATCCAATTATTTGGACCTTTTTCTGTGTGTTAGTGACAAAACAGTCCTTGCTCCTTAACTCCAGGAGTGATATAAAAGCCTTAAGGAGGCAGAGCAGAAATTCCTAGCCCTGGACGCATTATAACAATGTGGATGTCCAGGGCCCTTATCTCTGCCCAATCTGGGTTAGGATAGGTTATCTGTATTTTTTTTTTTTTCAAATTTGGTGAGTGGCTAGTGATAAGACACACTAAGACTGGTGTCAGCGGACTCAACTCAGATCCTTCATTGGCACAAAACTTCTTGAGTCTAATGATACCTTCATTCCCTAGAACCATGCGATTATGAATTCCTTGTTGTCCTTTAGGTATCAGTTCAAGTTGTTCCCCGACACACACCCTTCACACACTCACATACCCACACACAAATTCATATGGTGAAGTCTTTACCTCCAGCGGCTCCGGTGTGCAGTGACAGCCCTTGCTAAAGCAATCAAGTGAAAAGGAATAGTTCAGAGTAGTTCCCAGTGCAATATGATTTGTGGGGGAAATTTGGACACATTCATATGAAAGAAAGACAGTGGGAGGACGTAGAGGGAGAAGATGGCCTGATAAGAGCAAATTGTTCTTAAATCTTCAGAAGGAACTATCTCTGATAGTAACTTGATACTGGACTTCTGTTCTCCAGAACTGAAGACAGCAGAATCTGTTGCTAGAGCTACTCAGTTTATGGCACTGCTACATCAGTTCTAAGAGACTTATATACTACTCTATTGGAAGTTAAAATTGCATGTGTGTTTATTGGTTTAATGTTTGCCTCTTCCACAAGATGATAATCTTCAGAATGGCAGGAACTGCATCTGTTATTCATTTCACATTGTCAACGATTGCACTTCGCTGTCCCAAGAGAGGTCAAGTGCTACTCAGAGCAAAAATATATGGTGCCAAGAACAAATGTTGTCGGGACAAGAACAGACGTAGGCAAACTGTGATCCTCAGGCCAAATCTGTTTCACATTCGGTTTGCATACGACATGTAAACTAAAAATCACTTTACTTTTTTTTAAAAAAAATGGTTAAAAGAAACAGGCAACTATTTCATGTCATGTAAGTAGAATATGAAATTTAGGTTTCATTGGGACGAGGCCAATCTCATTTACATATTATGTATAGATATTTTCCTGAAGGAGAGTTTTGAGTTGCGATAGACTCCACATCGCCTAAGCCATACTTTATGATTAATTATAGACAATAAACATCTAGTATAGACACTTCAATAGGCCTCAGGAGCGTTGCAATTGCCCAAGGACCCACATCTTCTCAGTGGAATACTGTTGTAGGCTCATACTGATACTCAGTGTGCTAGAATAGTATGATGAAACAAACCAGCCAGCACAATCTTTTCTTGGCTCACAGCTCCATAACAGACGAGTGAATAATCCTTCTCCCTAGGAGCAGGCAGCTTTATTAATGGTTGATGAATAAAAGAGATTTGCTGAATAAAACTTTTTAATTTCCATGCAATTTTGATGAAATGCGAGTTTAGATATAAAATAAACAGATGATAGTGATAATTATATGCACATATCAGATTTTTCTGCACACACTGGTTATACTATCATAGAAGTCAGTCCCTTACATACGAAGTTTGAGTTGTCTTAAATAAGGACAATCTCCCATTCATATTCACATAAAAGCACCACTTACCTTTGATGGACTAACAAACTGAACACATTCCAGCCATGTTGTTAAAAAGGATTTTCCACATATTACACATCTTTTCCTCTTAGAGATTTTGTCTTTGATATCTGGATACTCTTCTATGGCATGCATAATGAAAGAATTTTTTTCTTCTAGCTGATTCATGATAAATCTTGCTGTTATTTCCTAAAGTAAAAAGAATATGGCTCCTCAAATTAATTTCAAGTTTTTATTATGTTGTTTTCTGCCTTATTATCCAGTTTTTGTTAAACCAATATTAAATCTATATTCTACATATTCTATATATTCTATATTCTAAATTCTAAATTATTGTGAATGTAATATGGAATTATAAATAAGTTTGACTTTTATCAACATACAGAAAGCAGGTTACTTCCACTGTAATATATTTCTGCCTTTTTTTTGTGGGGGGGGGGGTCCAGTCGTGGGGCCTGAACTCTGGGCCTGGGCACTGTCCCTCAGCTCTTCAGCTCAAGGCTAGCGCTCTACTACTTGAGCCACAGCGCCACTCCCGGCTTTTTTCTTTTTGCTTATGTGGTGCTGAGGAATCGAACCTAGGGCCTCAGGCATGCAAGGCAAGCGCTCTACCAGTGAGCCACTTCCCAGCCCCTATTTCTGCCTTTTTTGTATAGAAATCTAGGTCACAATAGATTGCTATTATCTTTTAAAAATTAGATATAGTTTAGATCTAAATTTGGTAAATTTAGTTACAATAAATAAGGATTGTACAAGCATTCATACTGGACTCAAAAACTGGATCTGGCCAGGCGCCAATGGCTGACGTCTGTAATCCTAGCTACGCAGGAGGCTGAGATCTGAGGGTCATGGTTCCAAGCCAGCCTGGGCAGAAAAGTCTGTGAGACTCCTATCTCTAATCTCCACTAGAAAGCTGGGGTGGCACTGTGGCTCAAGTGGTTCTGTGCTTTCCTTGAGCTGAAGAGCTGAAAGACAGTGCCCAAGACCAGAGTTCAAGCCCCATGACCGACAAAATAAAGAAAGAAAGAAAGAAAAATTGTGTCTGTCCTTAGATAAATATCTTAGTTTTTCTCATATGTGGAATCTAGACTTTAAAAAGATATGAAAGTAGAAAAGGAAGGGAATAGAGAAATGAGTGGTGAATTGAGCAAAGTATATTATACAATTGTTGACATGTAAAGAGATATCATAATGATACCCTTTACTTTGTACATTTATTAGAATATACTAAATAAAATTGCATTTTTAATATTCACTGAGGTCTAAATCCAAACTATTTAAGCTGAAGTTCACAAGCCAATATAATCTGCATCATCTGGGAGCTTATCAGAAATGCAGAATATTTGATGTACCCCAGATCAACAGAATCAAAAATTCAATTCAACAAGAGACTCTTATTTATTAATACAATTGTCTGCCTGTATGTATACTTATTTGATAAAGGCTGTGATTAACTGCACTCAATATCTGAACAGCACCGCTGTATTGAACAGCATTGACTTCTATGAACTAAATAACTTGCATCATTCTGTAATATACTTGGCCAAAGAGATGGTCACAGAATTGACTTGATGAACTATATAAATAGTATTTTATTTTTAGTATTAAGTAGTAAAAGGGATGAGAAAATGGAAATTGCTTTTACCAGGACTATCAACATTATCAACATTGTAATACATAAAATCAAGTCTTCATTGATCAAACAAAGGAAATGAGCACAGCTATTAGCTTTATTCCCAATTTTTGTCAGTAGCAGAAAAGTCTTGCATAAATGTTACAGAAACATTTTAATAGTATATGGAGAGAGTTTATCTGGGACTTGTTTTACTTAGCCAAAGTAAAAAATTTCCCCATAGAATTACATTAGTACATCAAGCAATTCATATATATATATATATATATATATACATATATATATATATACACATATGTATATATTTTTGAGACTACATGTATATATAATATTAAGAATATGTACATTCATAAGTATATACATGATCTTTCATTTATTTACCCTAATGAAAGTCTTAAAAGTTTTCATTGAAAATAACAGGTTGATAATAGCCCATAAAGTGCTGTGACCCTGATCCCTGTCACCTTACTCTTAGAATTTAACAAAAGACTTGGAAAGGTTTACACAGCCACAACAAGCATAGACTTGTTAAATGTCCCATCCTTGTTAAATTTTCCATCCACAACATATTCTCTTTCCCACTGAATCTCTGTTTCCTGCATACAGGTAAGTGGCTGAGATCAATTCAAAGACCAGTCTGAAAGCATTAATATTACCAGGCCTCCAACACCAGACATTTACTTTCATCTTTTTTCTAACTATACACAGCAGAGGTAGTGATTCTAAATGAAACACCATGTTGACTATATGACTTCCCTGGTTTGGTTCAGTCTGCAGAGAACTTATAGACAAGGATTCACTTTCCATGCAGAAGGTAGAATGATTTCCTAAAATCTGTGAGACCTACAAATATGTTTATAGAGATTGCTTTTTTCCATTTATGATTTCTGGATCCAACACATGTCAGTTACACTCAGTGTATCTTGACAGTTCTTACATAAGACATTATTTATATACTTCGGTGTACTGCCAATATGTTACTTTGGAATGACAAGTTATAATATTAATATATAAATTTTGATTTGGAAATGTGAGAATATATGAAGTAAGATAGTTTCAACCTAATAGGACCTCTTGGGATACTTCTTAGAAACACATTTAATATGGTTGTCAAAAATATATATTGATGACTTAATTCCAGTGTTTTAAAACACAAGAAACCTTTTCTGGACAAATAAATCACTCATTTTAAATAGTTTATATAGTATTTTGTTAGAATATCTATAAGGTAACCATATGTAGGTTTGGAACTACAATTTTGAAATAAAAGAGAGTAGTCTTCTGACACCTTGAATGCTGGAAACATTCTTGATCTTAAAGCTTTTCAGAAAGCCTGCTAACACTTTGGTTTATCTGCTCATGGGGGCTCCTCCACAAACCAGGATCCCCTCCTATCCAAAACAACTTTCTCTCCCTTTCCTTCACTCTCCTAGATACCCTTGCTGAAGCAGCACTGTGGGCATGGGATTTGAAGCCTAACTGTTCAAGTTGGCATCTCTGTAACAATACTATCTTTGCAACTTTGAACAAGTTATTTAACCTCTCAGGGTCTCTGTTTCTCTGTCTATAAAAAGGGACTGTGATGGTACCTTTACCTTTCTAGTTTATTAGTGACTACATTTGTTTATTCCTTTTAAGAGTTTAGAACAGTTCTTGGTACACATAAAGTTAAAACAAGTGTTAGCCAGTGTAGTATTATTCTGAAAAGTTTCACATGGGAGAAAAATAAGCTGGAGAGATTAAGTAAGTTAAAATAATTGTGTTCTAAATTATTTACAATTAAATGTTAAATGAGACATTTAGGGCACAAGAATAGAAAATAATTGTTTATGGAAATATTTTCTAGAAGATAATTTGAAAAGAGCTAATGTTTAAAAAGAAAGAAAATTACTATTAAAAATTTACTATTAAAATTTACTATTAAAAAAAGAAATTTACTATTAGTATGGTCATGGTAACTCTACCTATAAAGGGGAAACAGACCTTAAAATTGATCATCTAAATACCTCAGAGTGGAGAAATGACTAAAATATTATCACATAACAATGTCATGTGTTCATCAAAAAACGTTTTAGTTTTTTATCTGATCAGAAAGCCACAATATTTTGAGTGAAGAAAAAATAATGTACAGAGTTTGACTTCACCTTTAAAAGCACACTCTAGATCCATAGTAAGGTCTAGAAGAATAAATGTCAAAGGAAAGAATGATTCTATCTCAGCATATTAGAATTTTGAGTATTTCCATTTAAAAGTTCTCTTCCCCCCCCCCCCCCAAAAAAAATTCTCAAAATGAGCTTGGATAAGTTACTTTTACAGTGTCTTATGGCAAGTAACTTTTAAGGAATCTTTTGCTATATAAGCATATCATAACTTATTTTTATTTTCTTCCTTGTGTATCTCTATTTTCTGGATTTTATAATGAACATGCAGTATCATGCAGCTAGTTTTTAAAAATAAATTTATAAACAAACTAAGCCTTTGAATGAAAGCGGCTATTTACTCTGGTCATGAAACTTGAACTCTGTAAAATCTGAACTCTGTAAAAGCTGGAAGTCAAATGAAACTTTTGCATGTTCAACTATAGCCTGGTGGATCTGACAAGTCCAAATTCATGATGGAGAGCTGTTCTCTAAGGTTAGAAGATCTGAAATCTTCTTTGTCCATTACAAATTGAATCCTCTATCATGGTTTCCTATTCCTTATGATATCATCAATGTTTTGTATATGTGTTTGTATGTGCGTGCACATGCTCTCTGGTACTAGAGCTTGAATTTAAGGCCTGGGCACTGTCCCTGAGTTTTTTTGCTCAAAGCTAGTGTTCTACCACGTGAGCCACTGCTCTACTTCCGGCTTTTTTGGTTGTTAATGAATCTTCCCTGGCTGTCTTCAAACTGTAACCTTTCATATTGCAGTCTCTTGAATTGCTAGACATTACAGGCATGAGCCACCAGCACTTGGCTTATCAACACTTTTAAGTACAATAAGTGTGAATTTTAGATCATATTCATTCCTTCATTAGGAGTGAGGACACACAAAAATGGAGATCCAGAAGATAAAGATATCACAAGAACAAATCAGACACATCTTTAGATGACACTAAAATCATACTTGGAAGGCTAGAGTGAAAAATAAATTCCTCTCTTTTCATCTAACAAAATTTCCAGACTTATGTGTATGTAGTCACTCTGGCAATCATGTAGGACGGTATTGGATTCTGTCAGCAAGTCAAAATGATGTGCAGGGTCCACATTGCCAACGGACTAAGATTACATTAAACATTTTCTGGTTTCGTAAGAACACTTTAAAAGACAAACCTTGAAATTTGAAGCCATGGAGAACAAGGAAAGGGGTGACAATTGTCCAAAAAGAAATGTACTCTTGCTGGATTTGTGTAAGTAATTCTAACCCCTCTGTACACCACCTTTCTAATAACACTGAAGCAATTTACAAAAGAAAAAGGAACATCTTAGCCTTGGCATTAGTTTGCCCACTCATGCTTATAAGCTAAGTCTTTACCCGGAGATTCCACAGGTCCTCCTGTTGGTCAGCAATGATTGGCTGCTTCTGGAACAGTGGGTTTTCTTCGCAGTAGAACTCTTGCAGCTTCAGATCCTGAAACTTTCAAAACAAAGTCAGAACATGCTCAATTTGCAAAGAACATGTACTATTTTTTTAAGAAAATCCAAATCCAATAAGATTCAAAGAGGCTCCAATGGAAGTCTATCACTTCTAAAGATTCATGTATATTAATATTAAGAAGGACATAATAATATAATTAGGAAGTTACTTCTCTGAGACTAAATCTCAGCTGTAAAACAGAGACATTAAGAAATTACTTTCAATGGAATGCTGGTAAAACTCTTCTCTAGAAAAAAAAAAAGAAAGAAAGAAAAAAAGAAAAGAAAGGAATGGAAGAGAAGGGAAAGGAAGTCCTGATTGGTGTTCATCCAGGACACAAATACTCCTGTTGGCAGCCAGAATAAGCTGGCTGCACCACAGTGTAGCACCTCACAAATTTATGGGAGAGTTAGAGATTTCCATGATTTCAGCCCAGAATTGAAAGATAGAAATTATTTAACAAATTTAAAATAATTGACTTGAAACATATTTCCAGAAAGAGAATGTAAAGATTTATAGTCAATGGAGAATTAAAGATAGTGAATGATGAATCTAAACACTAACCCAAATTATACAATGATTAGATTGAAGAGAAGAGAGCCAAAAAATAAACCCTTTCTCACTTGCCCTTCATGAGTAGTAAGAAAAATAGCCAAAAAGTGAATTAGTCATAACTCTTCAGTATCTGCCAGATGCTCTTCTGATGAGAATAAGAGAAGATCCTCAGAAAGAACTGAAGAGAGGAGGCTAATCCTAACAGTAAAAATAAATAAATAAATAAATAACTGAACTCTTAGGTCATAAATCTAGGCAGAAAGAGAGAGAGGGAAAGATCAAGAGACAGATAATAGATAGATAGATAGATAGATAGATAGATAGATAGATAGATAGATAGATAGATAGATAGATAGATAGATTGATTGATTGATTGATATAGATAGATTCCTCCTCCCAGTTAGTAAGAAATAGCTGAAGGCCTTTAAGCCCAGTCCCTTCCATGGCCTCAACATCCCTACCTGGAAGCTGAAGGGACAGTAACCTAGCATTCACTTCAGGTCTTTGAACTTGAACATCTGTGCTGAAAGACTGATGTGGAAAGACTTATGTATATCACTTCACAGTTTCCATTTCATACTTGCTTTACATCCCACTCTGCCGTTAAACTACCTGAGAACTCAGCGTAAGAGGCTCTGCTTCCACTCTTCCCTATATCCCTCTATGTGTCAATGCCAGTAGAGTGATCTATACACCCTAAGGAAAGTGGCATCAGTCCCTTGCTCAGCCATCTTCCTCAAAGTGAAATGCGAGTTCTGTGCCCTGGTTCTCGGTGCTCTGTTATGATTTGGATTCTGTAGTATCTTTTGGATCTCGTCTCTCAGTGTTTGCTCTCATTTTTACTCTATTTCTCTATTACCCTACTTATTATTACACTATTTAGTTTTAATTAGCTTTCCCTATTACCTTCCTCCATCATTGATTTCTTTAGCTAGCTCCCAGCCTTCATGTGACTGCAATCCCAGATGACTTCACTGCAAGTCACATGAGAGACTAGAAGCCAAAAGCACATGGCTAAAACATTCTTAGCTTCCTAAGCCTCAGGATCTGCATGAAATAACCATCCATTTTACTGCTTTAAACAGCTAAAATTTTTGACAGTTTGTTAGACAAAAGCTTACATATTTATTTATTTATTTAAAATATGTATTAGTACAGAGAGAGAGGAAAGGGATAACATTATCCAAAAAGAAATATACTATCTGACTTACATAATTGTAATCTCTTTATACATCATTTTTATAATAACAATAAAAATTTTAAGTACATATGTCAGTAAAATAAGGGATTATATACAGTGTTTTAGTAAAATAAGAAAGTAAAATTAGCGAACATATTGATAAATCCCAGCGTCTACTAAGAATACAATTCTATGCTTAAAAAGGAGTTGGTGGTTAATTCCTACTTCCAAAAGTTAAGCCATTCTGTTGGACTCACATAATCTTAGTATGAAGTTCTATAACTGTACTTAACCCACTGTAGTATAATGCCCTAACTTTCATTTTAAAGTTATTATTTAGATATCAGAAAAGTTTCCCAGGCCCTTCATAGGAATCATTTCTTATTGTTGCCAGAAACTCTAGATCTAATAGAAGTTTTCTACATAAGAGGTGTCCAAAAATGTTTTCTAGTGGATTATTTATTATTAAGTGTTTATCAGTCAAAGGTAGTGAATGGCTATGGTCAGAGAAAACCTCTTTGGAGTTCATTTTGATTTTTAAAGACTGGTTTTTCAAATCTGACCTTATGAAGTGATGCAAGAATGTGGATAAACTCAAATTGATCACCATTTTACAAATGTGCAACACATGTTGGCCTACTTGATAATATATAAATTTTCAATTTTATCAAATACAGAAAATTATTTTCTCAAGTGTTTTGATCAACTATTTTCCTTTCTATTAGTGCTATGTATCAGAACCAAAGACCCAGAAATGAACCTGCAGACCTATAGCCTAATCTTTGATAGGGGAGCTAAAAACAATAGAAGGAAATAAAGACTGCCTCTTCAGTAAATGGCGCTGGCAAAATTGGTTAAATACCTGAAGAAAACTAAGGCTAGATCCTTGTATATCACCCTGCACGAGAATCAACTCCAAATGGATCAAAGACCTCAAAGTAAAAGCAGACACACTGAAAAAAATAGGAGAAACTCTAGAGCTCCTTGGCACAGGCTGAAATTTTCTTAATAAAGACCCAGAAACACATCAAATCAAAGAAAGGTTGGACAAATGGGATTGCATGAAATTGCAGAGCTTCTGCATGGCAAAGGACATAGCTCACATGATCAATAGAAATCCCAGACTGGGAGAAGACCTTCACTAGCCATACAACGGACAAGGACCTCAAACCTAAAATATACTTAGAATTCAAAAAATTAAATTCCACAAAAACAAATCCTCAAAGAAACAACCACCCCATCAACAAGTGGACTAAAGACTTAAAAAGAAACTTCTCAAGAGGAATTAAGAATGGCCAGTAGACACATGAAGTGCTCAACTTCTCTGGCCATAAAATAAATGTGAATCAAAACAACATTGAGATTACACCTCACCCTAGTTAGAATGGCTATAATCAAGAACTTTAATAACAACAGATGCTGGAGGGGATGTGGTCAAAAGTGAACTCCATTGTTGGTGGGAATGTAAACTTGTTCAACCAATTTGGAAAGCAGTATGGAGGTTCCTCAAAAGACTCCACATAGAGCTCCCCTATGACCCAGCAATCTCACTTTTGGGTGTTTACTCAAATGATCACAAACAAAACCATAGTAATGCTACCCCCACAACTATGTTTATTGCAGCATTATTCACCATAGCTAAGATATGGAACCAACTCAGATGTCCCTCAGTAGATGAATGGATCAAGAAAATATGGTATGTGTGTATATGTATATATGTATATACATGTATATACATATATACCAATATATGTATATATATACATACAACATTTTATATATACATATTTACATATATATATAATGGGATTCTATGCTTCCATCAGAAAGAATGGCACTGCCTCATTTGTTAGGAAATGGAAAGACTTGGGAAAAAATCATATTAAGTGAAGTAAGCTATTCCCAAAGAAATTCAGGTCTCATGGTTTCCCTTATTTGTAATAACTAGTATACATATAGGATAATTTTTTATCAGATGACTGAAAAGCTCAAAAGCTATGTACATATGTCCATATATGATGATGCTTCGTGAAATGAACGCCAAGATATGGACACAAGAGGTCTGTCTTTGTTGTTATTGTTTTAAATGTACGATGTGGGTTTTTTTGGTACCTTTGTATGTTCTTCCCCCTTTGGTATATACCCTGTTGTCACTGTACTTGATTTTGATACCCTGCATCTTGTATAAACATTTGTCTAATCTGGGGAGGGGAAGGGGAATAACAAAATGCTGAAACAAGGACCCAGAATGACCCATTGCAACAAGGATACCCACAGGACAATATATTGAAAACAAACTTTATAACTTGGGGAGGAAGGGGGTGTGGGAGGTGGAGGAGGAAAGGGATAGTGGGAGAACAACAAGGGAAGGGGTAACAATGATCCACAAGAAATGTACTCATTGCCTTACTCATGTAACTGTAACCCCTCTGTTCAGCATCCTTACAATAAAAAGGCAAAAACCAACCAACCAAACAACAAACTAGTGACAACAGGGGATAAAGTACAGGGAAAAAAAATAAAAGAAATGTACTTCACACAGTACATTAAAAAATGAAAACAAAGAAACAAAAGAGAAAAAAAAATTCTTCTAATAGAATTTTTGCCTGATACCATGTCTACAAAAGAGGCAAACGAAAAAATAAGATTAATTAATTATTGTCGGCTTTCATATAATACTTTCACAAATAATTTAAGATAAAATCATACTCATTGTTAAAACTATTAACAATTACCCATTTTACTCTATTTAAATCCCTATGAGAGTCTCCTCAGTCCTCCTTTAAAATGGAGTTGTTGGGGTTTTTTTGTTTTGTTTTTTGTCAGTCGTGGGGCTGAACTCTGGTCTTGGGCGCTGTCCCTCAGCTTTTCAGCTCAAGGCTAGCACCCTACCATTTGAGCCACAGTGCCACTTCCGTCTTTATTTTTCTGCTTATATGGTGCTTAGGAATCGAACCCAGGGCCTCATGCATGAGAGGCAAACACTCTACCACTGAGCCAACTTCCCAGCCCCTAAAATGGAGTTTTTAATATGCATACCATGACATACTTTAGTATGTCATAAAACTCTCTTTCCTGCCCTCAACAAATAAACATGTACTTTCATGTTTGTTCTCTTTTATAAAACTAGAAACAAAACTTTTACAATTAAAAAAAAAACCCTCTTTCCTCTCAAACAACAGTGGCTTTTCTTTTAATCATAAGTCACTTTTTCTTTAGAAAAAGTCTTCTAATTGGAATTTGAAAACCAATTATACGATTAGTA